AAAAAAAAGGAGGAGGATTGGCAATACATGTTAGCTCAGAGCCAGTCTTCCTCAGCAAAAAAAGAGAAGGATTAGCATGGATGTTAGCTCAGGGCTGATCTTCCTCACAAAAAATAAATAAATAAATAAATAAACTCTACTGAAGTTGTCGCTATTTTCTCAAATCTCCCAAAGATGGTACTCAGATAGTACTACTCTATATGCATTAAAGATAAACTAATTCATTACATACAATGTATGCTGTAGGGGTTTAGTACTTAATTTTTCAGGAACCTGTAGAAAGGGGCTGTACACAAGGCTGCCAGACTCAGCTGGCGTTTCAGTAAGGTTCTCAGGGACCACCAATAAAAGTATAAATGGGAAGTGAATGGTAAGTGTCTGGCAAGGAGAAGGTAAGCTGTGAATCTCAATCTCCTGAATTGAATATAGTCTGGAAAATAGAATGACTGGAAATTTCTGTAGAATTTAGTCTCTTCAGACCCCCAGCAAGCAGAATGCCAGAGAAATTCAATTTGGCCAATCTGAAGGCTCTTTCCATCTTATACATTTAACAGACTTAAGAAAGATACTTAATTTAATTATAAGGAAAAGATCCATGATTATTTCAAATGTGAAAACCACATCTAATAAACTGATATTAGTTTCAGGAACAAGAGGACATCTTATTGCCATTACAGTCACTTCATAAGGAACCCATTTCAACGAAGGTTCGGAGCTAACTGCAGTCCTGTCCAAGCCCAGGAGTCCAGGGGCCTGGCTGCTCCTCTTCCGTACTGTGGGACTTCCCCATCTGCTTGGGTCTGGTCTCTTAAAGGAAATGTCCATTGTCTTCCACGCGTGTTGTGACCATGGCTTAGAGGTAGGCACAGAGCCGCTCCAGCTGCCCGGGATTCATATTACTTAGGAATAGCAGCTCCTTTTTCCCATCTTCTGTATGAGCTAAAATGGAGTCAAACACAGATGATTGGCAGTTTTCTCCTGCAGCATTGTGTTACCCAGAAAGTTCTGTAGTCAGAGGCTACATTACCCAGATTATGTTCTGATGTAATTAGCACTCTCAAGAGACCTCACTTCTAGATCCTTTATCCCAATAAACTATTATTTTTTCTATGGATAATTTCCCTTATTGTCTTTACTCCTCAATCCAGCATCTATCTCTCTCTCTGTTGCAAGAATATCTTCTTGACTTTAAGATTTTGTCAAATCTTCCAACCCCCTTAGAAATCTCTCCATTGTGCCTCCCAACCCACCATGCTGCAGCTGCTTTATACTCTTCCCTCTATTCCTTTAATAACCTATTCCAATTGCAGTTAATTCTCTATTACCTAGTGATAGTACAGCCTTACTTTTCCTCTACATACCCCCAGGCGCTCCACACACCCAGAGCTGAGAGTGGTAGAATGAATAGCTGGAATCCTTTCATATACATATACTAGGACAGGTATAGCACGGATTTGGTTTGGTGCTGGGGTAGCCTCACACACAGTATCAATTATTCTGTGGGTGTCCTAGCATATTGAGTCTCTCAATTGAAGTTTGTTGAATGATGAATAAATGCAACAATGGGAATGTGGCAGCAACCTAAACACCTGGAAACTCTGCCCAATGGCTGGGCTTAGTCTGGCCTCCTCTTTTAGCATGAGCATCTTACTCTAGAGTAATATGAGAATTCAGGGAGAGATACAATGTCTTCTGTAAATTAAACCTTAACCACCCCCCACCCCCACACTTTTCCGTACCATCTAATCAGCCAGAAAGAAGTCAAGATAAAGAGAAAAAAGATGAAATAGAAATTACAGGCTGCTGCTGAGGGAAGAAGAGATCAAGGCTCTGACTCAGTGGGACTCTTCTGTGAGCACAAAGCCCTGATTGGAAAAAATTAAACAACTGACCTTTCTCATGTTGAAGCCAATTGTTCTCCAAATAATACTGAATACAACTTTCAAATTCCTTTGGGTTATAGTTGGAAACCAGGATGGGAATAAAGGGATCCAGGGCATCAAATCCTTCCTGGAGAAGAAAAAGGATAAAGATCCAGTATTTGTTAAAGTGACAAATCAGCAGAGAGATCAATGTTATTTAAACACTTTGAGGGCACGGTCTCTGCTTTTTTTCTATTCGACTCTACTCCTCACTCTCTGGCTGCCCTGCCTTATACAGGGCTCTGCACAGAGTGGCTGGCTATTGTTGCTCTATATGGCCACAAAGATTATATTTTAAAAAGAGATAATGCTTGAGGGGAGGATGCCAGTTATCTGAGTGTGTATATACATAAGCATATACATGTATATTTTTAAATTCTTCTTATGGTTTTGACTTCAACAGTCAACAACAGTTTTGACAGCTCATATACTCAAAAACAGAAAATAAACAAAATTAACAAGGATGGGGAAATAGACCCTAAATGGAACATAAACTGAAACAAATGAATCAATCAAACTGTATTTTAAATTCCAAACATAACAGTGAAGGGAGGAGGGAAACTAACCCAAGAGAACTTCTGAACAGAGTATTTGGACTAAAGACCCTTAGGCTAAAGACAAAAACTACTCTAAACAAATACTGCGCTCTAGTTCACAGCTTCTTTTTTATAGAGTCAAGGGTTGGCAATTCTGAAACTACTTCTACTATAATCTAAGATTGAGCTAATAAGTAAATATAGTGTGGATAATGAGAGCAGATTTCTTATTGTTGGAGACGAGGGTTACAAATATGGAAAGGGGGAAAGATATAATGAATGCTGTGATGTTAGCCTCGAATTGGAAGTGTCCGTATGAACTCATAGTTTTTTAATTTAAATAAACAGATATAGATGTGTATGGATGTATATGTATAAACACATACATGCATATACACGTATGCATGTATATATGAGTATTACATATATCTATTTATTAACTCTGCTGGAGGGCCTAGAAAAAGTGACACCCTAGTAGCAATAAGTACACCTAGCACTCAGGTCTTGGTTTCTAAATACCATTCTCCTCTAAAATGAACCAAGGATCCTTGGAGAAATGGCTGATTCTAAGGACTGGGGCACGGAAAGTACAAGATGAGTCTGGAACATGTTCTTGTGCCAAAAATTAAGAAGTGCTTAAAGAATGATGGGGACATGTTAAAAGGACATAGAAACCAGCCTGAAGGGGCTCCTACTGGCCAAATCTTGGATAATTTAAGCACCAAAATAAATAATGATAGTAAAGATTTAGAACCATTAAATAAGAATCCACATGTCCACGCTGAAAGAAATAAATACATAAGGGAGAAAAGAATGTTCTTACATATAACAGAAAGCCAACTGATACATTTAGAAGAAATGATGGAGCTAGAAAATATCCATTTTGAAATTATCATAATAATTGATTTAGAATAACTGAATCACCAATGGATACTAAAACTAGTAAGGGGAACTTTGAGGAGTAACAGGATATATACCTAGTCTCAAAGTATATCTCCATAAGATCCTTACTCATTACAAAAGGAAAAAAGTAACTTTACTGAGAAGAAAATAGGTGCACACCATCTGAACTCAGTGTTTTTAAACTGAGTTTAAACAGTGTTTAAAAACTCAACGTTTTTAAGTTAACGTTGCCAGTAATAGGAGAAATAGGTTTCATGTGCCTCCCGATACTATGCACTGAGAAGACACAACATCACTTCTGAAGATTTATTTATTTATTTTCCCCTCAAAGCCCCAGTAGATAGTTGTATGTCATAGCTGCACATCTTTCCAGTTGCCGTATGTGGGACGCGGCCTCAGCATGGCTGGAGAAGTGGTGCGTCGGTGCGCGCCCGGGATCCGAACCCCGGGCCGCCAGCAGCGGAGCGTGCACCCAACTGCTAAGCCACAGGGCCGGCCCCACAACATCACTCCTAACATCACACAGAATCAGGAGAAAACATCAGAAAACTCCATAAAAGAACCCATAAGATAACTGGCATGGACTCTTCAAAAATAGAAATACAAATATTAAGGTTATATAAAAGACGAGGACTGAAGAACTGTCACAGGTTAAAGGAGACTAAAGAGACATGATAATCGAATGCAATGCATTATCCAGGACTTTCTTTTTCTGTAAAGGATATTGGGATACCTGGCAAAATCAGAATAAATTCCATAGATTAGGTAACAGTATTATATTGATGTCAATTTCCTGATTTTGACAATTGTGCTGTGGTTATATATTAGAATATCTTTGATTTTAGGAAACACACATTCTTTAGAGAAACAGAGGCATTGTGTCTCAGGTGACTGTCACATAATTCAGAAAGAAAAAGATAGGGAGAGAAGAATAAAACAAATATGGTAAAGTGTTAACATTTTAGGAACCTTGGTGAAGTCACACCAGAATACAATTTTTCTCCGAGTCTGAAATTATGTCAAAAAAAAAAAAAAGATATCTCTTTAGACAGAATGACTATCTAAGGGGAAACAAATTTTGCAATGATTTGACCTTTCCCAGCAACTCCTGGGGCAGATAGGCTTTCCGGGGCTTAAAGACAGATCCAGTCTGGCTCAGAGTCAACACAATGGCGCCTCCGTGCTGAAAGGAGAAAAAGCTGAATTAGAAAAAACTGAAAAAGAAAAATGTATTTTTATCATCCGTAGATTTTTTTTTTTTGCCATGCAGTGGTATGGCAGTGTGGTCTAGCACAGTTAAATGGCAACTAAATTGGTTATTAGTTCTAGATTTGGATCTGACAATAAATTGCTACATGATTTCAAATTCATCAAAATCTTTTCCAAAGCTGATAAGAAGATATAAAAATACTTTGAGGGTGTGCACACTCCGCTACTGGTGGCCTGGGTTCGGATCCCGGCTGTGCACCGACGCACCGCTTGTCGGGCCATGCAGAGGCGGCATCCCACACACAGCAACTAGCAGGATGTGCGACTATGACATACAACTATCTACTGGGGCTTTGGGGAGAAAAAGGGAAAAACAAAAACAAATGGAGGAGGATTGGCAATAGATGTTAGCTCAGGGCCGGTCTTCCTCAGCAAAAAGAGGATTGGCATAGATGTTAGCTCAGGGCTGATCTTCCTCACACACACACACAAAAAAAACAAAACCCTTTGAGGGGCCGGCCCTGTAGCATAGCGGTCAAGTGCGCGTGCACCGCTGCTGGCGGCCTGGGGTTCGGATCCCAGTTGCGCACCAATGCACTGCTTGTCAAGCCATGCTGTGGCGGCGTCCCATATGAAGTGGAGGAAAATGGGCACAGATGTTAGCCCAGGGCCAGTCTTCCTCAGCAAAAAAGAGGAGGATTGGCATGGATGTTAGCTCAGGGCTGATCTTACTCACGAAAAAATTAAAAAAAAAATAATAATAAATAAAAGAAACCACTTTGAATAATTGCAAGCAAAGTAAAATTATGCCAATATTTAAATAAAATGGTTTTGAATAAGGTTACTCTAGTCAAGTGGAAAGATTGGAAACCAAATACATATATTTTAATCTTGGTAAAGTTTTGGGAATTAATAAGATATAAGAACTTTCTGTCTATAAAATTAGAGACTGGAAAGTATTAGCAATGAAGCAGTTGAACATCTTTAAATGAAAATACATTTCTTTCTGAAATGTGTTAGGCATCATATGCACTCACCCAATCATTTTTCACCATTTTCCTCAGGTTGTAAATGAGTGCTAGTTCCTCTGGGGCAATCTGCACATTGGTCAATGTGTGAGAGAGGAGGAGGGGGGTGGGGGGAGAGGGAGAGAAGAGATCATTACTTCCTTTGCCTGGATGCTCCCCTGAGACAACTGAATTGACAACAACTAAAAAATCCTCAACTACTACATAGTACCTGAAGGTACAACCTCTGAGACAGGCTACACAGCTGCTGGCCCTAAAACTGCCTTGCTTCTGCAGATTAAAAACAGTCACTCAAGGAGAAAACACCCACTTCCCCAAACCACCCCCTTCCTTGATGCTTCTGATCTTCTCTGCTCAGACCACATAGCCTCATTTTGAAAAGAGAATAGAAAGAAAAAATTGACAAAGAAAGAAAACGTAGCTTCACGCTCTTTTCAAAATACTCTCCCTTAGTTTTCAATGGATGGTCAAACTCGGCATCACCTTCTCCTTCTGATGCTATTTTCAATATACATCTTAATTCAAATACTCCTAGTGCAAGAAAATATATTGAGTCGTCTACAAGGCTACATCCCAGCCTACACAGTATATGATGATACCAGAAATCAGAGAAACCAGAAGAGAGAAACTCAGTTTTCCTACCGGGCTTTTATCTTCTTTTTTCAGTGTGGTCCTTCCCCAGAGAGCATTGACTCCATCCACTGCCACCAGGAGGTGAAAAATACCCAAAGAACTTTGCCTCTTTAGCTCTTTGAGCACAATTCCAACTGCATCTGTGGCGTTCCTCACCCGCATTATGCCCTGTAGAGAAAGAGAAACAGTGGCTTATAGTCCTAGAAGAGGCCTGCTCTGGTTATGACACGGTACACATTCAGTGTCTTTTATACCTGTTCAACTACTTCTCCCAGAGGACTGCCTTTCTCAGTGCTTTCTCGCTTATTCCAGACATACTTCTCTTGAACTTTTATCTAAAAACAAAATAAAAACCAAAAAAGGCTACTTAGCCTAAAGATGAACCCATCCCTAGCAGAGAAGGTAGGAGTCTAAGGTTGTTAGGAGTCAGTTTTAATCTATTTTTTCAAGCCCTGTAAGAGACCTCAGTATGGAAGTGAATGCTTTCTAGCCCATTTATACCTGGAGCTTAAAAAGGGATTCTGGGGGCTGGCCCAGTGGCAGAACGGTTAAGTACGCACGCTCCACCGCGGCAGCCCAGGGTTTGCAGGTTCAGATCCCGGGCGTGCACCGACGCACTGCTTGTCAAGCCATGCTGTGGCAGTGTCCCATACAAAGTGGAGGAAGATGGGCATGGATGTTAGCCCAGGGCCGATCTTCCTCAGCAAAAAGAGGAGGATTGGCCTGGATGTTAGCTCAGGGCTGATCTTCCTCTCCTAAAAAAAAAAAAAAAAGATTCTGACTAAAAAGGTCCAGGACGAGGCCTTGGCATCACATTTTTTTTT